CTATTGCCATCCAGTAAGCTCTCAAGTCTGGTATCTACCAGACTTGAGAGCTTACTGGATGGCAATAGGCTATTCTCAAATTTCCCAAACCCACTCACACCTTTCTTGCATTCCACTGAATGCCAATATAAGGATAAAGTAACACTAACAATTCTATGCAAGGCGGAGAAAAAGAGTAGGACGTATCTCCTTCTACCCTTGGGTGGCTACAGGAGAAATTTTGCAGAAGCAAGGAGAGGCTCCTTTTCCCTTCTCCACTGTGCCTGGCATAATGTTATGCAGCATAGCAGCAATCACATAGCCTTGAGAAATGTGTTTTTTCCAAAGGCTATTAAGTTTGCAGAAGCAATTAGGAAAATGGGGTACTCCAGGATCTAGTTCCAATCTGATATGTTTCCTAGCAGCATAGCAGAGTCTGAGAGAAGGAAGAAGGAAGAAAAGCCAGGGCCAAAAGGAAAGGGAAGAATCCTTCAATTGCCACTACAGCCCCCAAGTATGGTTTGTAGATTTCAAGGTCCCTAGTGAAGCTAAGTCTTTAGCTGAGCTGGAGAGCCTCTCCTCATGCAGCTTATATTTTTAAATATTTTTCTTATCCTTTTCACTTTCTGTTTGCATTACACTCAGTGAATTTATCTGGTGCTTCCCATAAACAATAGGTAATGAAGGGATTATAGTACCCATCTGCTTTAAAGAGATATCCCTGAGTCCTGCAGGGCTGAAAAATGCATGATGTGGATAGTTTTATCATGTCACTTTTTTTTTTTTGCTTTGCATAAATTAAAATGAGGGACCTGGCAGGGTTTTGCATCTGAACTATACAAGAAATACTCCATTTTTTGTATCCTGAAACTGTCCAAAGCTTTTCCAGCTGCCATTGCTCAGAATAACTTGTGAGTTATTTCATATTAAATACAATTCTAAGAACCGTGTTTTTATCTGCAAATCAAATTGGCTTGCATGTAAAAACAAATAGGTTCAGCAACATCTTAAACATGTTTAAGTAAGCCTCCTTTTTTTCCAGTGGGACCTATTCTCAACCTAGGTGTATAACCTCATGCGCTCATTCTTTTGAGAATAAGTTACACTGAAGTGATTGGGACTTACTTCAGAATAAACTGAAATAGGGATTGCACTGCAATATATTTTAATATTCTAGTTTTGAAAAGTTTTTTTTTGAATGAATCTATAAGCTGTACTTCACTGATAATGTTGGCAACAACATTATGTATTGCAATGACAATATTAAGAACTTTGAATACTACAAAGACTGTTTTTAAGGTCCATAATTGAAACAAACATGGTCAAGCAATTCTCATGTGATAACATTATTGTTCTTATGGAATTTTGCATTTTTTTTTTAAAGTCATTGAATGTGAACATCAGATGTTAGGCTTTTGTTTAAAAAAGATTTGGAAGCAGTGTTCAAACAGTATGGTTTTTATATGGCCTTGGTAGATAAACACTGAATGTCACTATTTAATTGATTTTGCTATGAGCAACTGTTACCTCCTGGACGATCGAAAATATGAAATGGAAAAAGAAAAAAGAACATACCATGTCCACAGAACAACACAAAAAGAACTAGATCAGGGGCATCAGGGAAGGTGGAATACTATAACAACACATTTTATATTGTTATATTATTCCACCCACCTTAATGAAGAACCCTTTGGTGTGGCTACTCCATAGCCTTTCGAATCCAGATTTCCTCCCACTTTCATGGTGTCACATGGCTTTCGCTGTTCAATGTATTCATTCATGGTGGATTCCAGGAGGAAGGCAAACTTGCCCTTGGACTTGCGAACACGGGCAACACCCTCAGCTGTAGTCCTAGCGAATACTGACGGATCTGTTGTGCTCATGTATGCCCACATCTTTTCATATACTGCTATTTTAGATCTCTAAAGGAAATTAAAAGGAGGTTAGATGCAACAAAGGAACAAGATCACTGCAAAACCAGGCTGTAACCTCGAATACATCAAGAGTCAATTTATTGCTCCACAATGGGAAATAGGTTTCTTTTGATAGAATGAGATGCTCGCATTGAGAAAAGGCTGCGGTTCTGACATGCATACTGCTCACAGACTTTAACTATTTTATGCCCAGTTCTTGAAATCATTTTAAGATAGAATCCACAGCAAACAGATAAAATTATATGAGTACAACACTAGCTGGATGTCCAAATCAATGGCAGAAAATGTAATGAGTATGTAATGAGTACGTTTTCTAGGTATACTTTCTGGATCTAATGATTCAACACAAAAATTAAAACATTTTGATCTGTCTTTGGCTAGGAATACAGTGAATTACTACTTTTGAAGAGGATATTTTTATGGGTTGCATAGACTGTCACTCTCTACATAGCCTAAACAGCTCCCCTGTGCAAGATTGTCCCCACTTCCTGATTATTTGCACATATATAAATGGAAGTCCTTGGATCGATTGCCTAGGGCCAGTAAATCCAAAGCGTGTAATTATTATACTGTCTTCAATGTGATCAGCCCTGCTTTTGTACTTAAAGCAAGTCAAAGGATAACAAATAGTTGAAATTCATGTCTGAACTATCCAGCTGTATGTTTAAAATATTTGTTTGATGGACTAGTTTCAGAGTAGTTTGTTAAAAGACTATCTGTGAGCATTCCTACATTTAGCTCTGAGTTCCACAATGAATGGAAGAAAAAGTAATGTTAGGATCCCCATAAGGGAACACATATTTTAATATAAGCAATTAATTGTACTAAACATAATTGGATTTAAGCTTACTCTGCTTATGCTTAAAAAGCCATTGCATGCACGTATGACATCATCCATAAAAATACTGAAGTAACTGTTAACAAGTAACCATATACCTGTATCAAAGCTGTATTTAATCTGTTGTTACTATGGATTCTACTCCTTTGTTTTGAAATAGCTACCAAGTTACACTATCTGTTACCACAATATTTAATTTCAAACAATTCATGAAATTTCTTACTTGAAATTGTTCAAGTAAAAGAAAGAGATGCACTTTATAAAAATGAAATAAATTGGCTTGATCCACCTGGAAGCTTTTTTATGACCCATTTAATTGTTGTTAAGAGACCTTAATATTCTGGCAAGTGTAATTTCACTGTAGTTCCCTTTTTTGATGGCACACACATTAAATCTTCCTTCAACAGACATTTGTCTGGATCTTATAAATAGGACCTGCCTAAGTGTGCAGCCTTGTCTGCAAACATGAGATGCAAGTCCTGGCATGCAATGGGATTTCCCTCATTAATTTCAGTATGTGTGCAAGGGGAAACACCCCAGTTTCTCTGTTTTCACCCAAGACATTTATTTTTAATGGTTCTAGTTTAAACATCAGTAATTCTGGATCCAACATATTGCTTAGCACATCTTGAAGAGTTTCAGTGAACTAGATTCAGTTCATATTTTGGATAGACATCCCAGAGTATAGGTGACAACAGATAAATCTATCACTGTTCATAAAGTTGTAAGTCTCATTGATAACAGTGAGATTTACAGTGTAGCATTATACACATCTGTTCAGAAATAAGTTCACTTGTGTTTAAAGAATGCAGCAGCTGATCAATCTTTTGTTTGTCTATGTGCAGCATTCCTGGGTCCCCGTTTAATGTCAATGAATGAATACTGCCAAAGTGAAACATGTTTAGGTCACATTTGACCAGAAGTAAATGCATGCTTTTATCAGTGAGACCTAGAAGTACGGAACAATTTCTTTTTCTCAGGTGCTAGAAGGTAATTTTTATATCTTATAACATAGCAGACAAAATGAGAGCAATAAGAATAAAACCTTTACAAAATTAATGTGATTGATCAAACTGTTGGCAAAATATCCTATATATTTTTCATGTAGCTGTTTTGTTTCATCCAGTATCTGCACATAGCAATATTGCATAGCTTTTAATCAAAGTCTGCAACAGAATAAAACAGAAACCAACCTGAAATGCATCTTAGAACCACAAAAAGTCTTATCAAAACTCCTTGTGTCTCAGTATTACAGTTTGCAATCAAACAGGAGAGCAATGCTCTTTTAATTACCTTTGATTCCACAGATCCTTGAGGCATTTACCACAAATGCCAACAAATAGAGCAGTTGTTGTTTTAAAACAACAACAACACTGGTATAACTTCAAGATTGTATTTGCTACAGAAACAAAACAGATATTAGGTGTAATGGAACATAATTCCAGCAGCACACTGGATGGAGAAATCGAGTTTCAGGAAGCATACCAACTTACTCTGAAGAATTCTTTTGTTGAACCAGAATCCAGTGTCCCATATGCAATTTCTGTTTGCTTCGCAAGGTCTTCTGCACTTTCTATGGGCGAGACCATTCGCTCAACAGTCAAGAAAGCAGCAAGATTAGCGGTATATGATGAAATTATGATCAGCGTGAAGAACCACCACACACCTCCAACTATGCGACCTGAGAGAGACCTAAATATGAATAAGATCATGTATATTTTCCTAGAAGGTGCAGCAAGGGACAATTATTACAAGAAATGTATTCACCAAGCAACAATAGTTGGGAGTGCCGCATAATAAGTTCATTGTTCTATTTAATAAAATTTCTCTTTACTATCTGTTTCACACTCCAGGATACAGTATGGTCTATAAAGAAAAATCTAATATATTCTGAATAAACTTTTAATTATATCTCTTATGGGAAGGAACTGCTGCTATAGCAGCTAATGGAATGATTTCCAAAGTGAGTGCTGAGGAATCACCTTGGGTATTTATCCATAAGAACAGGGTTCCTCAACCTTGGCAACTTTAAGACGGGTGGATTTCAACTCCCAGAATTCCCCAGCCAGAATTCTGGGAGTTGAAATCCACCCGTCTTAAAGTTGCCAAGGTTGAGGAACCCTGCATAAGAACATTAATAACAGCAAGAAAGGGTTTTTTAAAAACAGTTTCTTACCATTGTTTCTCATATCGGTACTCATATTGCTTTCCCACAGAAATATTGGATATTGCAAAGTGAGACCCCAAATGTTTGGTTTCAGCTTGTCTAGGAGTTCACTTGGTTATGCTGAATGTTCAATTGTGGCTTTATAAACTTTTTCACAGCTGCTACGGGTATTATATTTTTTTGTGGCTTTTTAAAATCATTTTTAAAATTGTTAGCTGCCTAGAGTCATGTATATGAGATTGGTGAACATATAAATCCAATAAACAAACAAACAAACATGTTTCAAGAGTGTATGAAAAAAATAATGACTTGTTTCTTAGTGGGCAAATCAGTGTAGAAAGGAATTTGTAGGCCACATTACCTTAAGCCTTTCAAAGCAACAATGTTATGATCATTTCAGTATGCTTAAAAATAATCCAGCATGTTGGACACTATAAGAGCACATGAAAGAATCCAAACCAGATATGCCTGCAAGCTACAAACAAATTTTAAACATGCTTTATATATTCAGTTTATGTTTTGAAAGTGGAAATGTTGGTGCAAGAATAGTGCTGTCTGGATGTTTTGAACTTTACATCTCATAATCCTTTCCATTCCCTCCCTCCCCCCCTCCCTCCCTCCCGCCCTCCAGATTTGTGTAGCCACCCATCTTGAAACAACTCTGGGTGGCTCACAGCAACAATAAAACTACAGAAACCATAAAACAAAACTAAAAACCTGGTGCCTTAATCAACCTCCCAGGGTACCCCAACAATCATCCACAGGCTCCACCCCTCTACCCCTGGAAGTAACTTCTGGAAGGCTAAGAGGGTGAGGCCTGCCAGATTAACGTTGGTAGGTTGTTCCATAACGTAGGGACAGCCATGGAAAAGGCTCGTTTTCTAGGTCCCACTAGATGGCAGTGTTTCAGGTAAGGGACCTGGAGCATGTCCACCCTATCTATCTAGTGGGACGGAGAGATGTCCTCATGGAGAGGCGGTCCCGCAAATAGCCTGGTCCTGTGCCATGTAGGGCTTTAATGATAATAACCAGCAACTTGAATTGCAACTGGAGGGAAACTGGAAGCCAGTGCAGCTCATGCAACAGGGGTGTAACATGTGTGAACCTAGGGGCCTGCCACATTCTGGACCAGTTGTAACTTCTGGGTGGTCTTCAAGGGCAGCCCCATGTAGACCGCGTTGCACTAATCCAAATGGGAAGTGACCAAGGCATGAGTGACTGAGGGCAAGGCCTCAAGGCATGCTGGCTATAGCTGATGAGAGTTGTCAAGACATCTCAGTGGCATGAGGTTGCCTATCTGTGTGTCACATGTATGAACAGACTGGTAATGAAATGATTCCTGATGGACTTGACTCCTTATACAAATTATCTTGACTAACACAAAATCACATAACCTTAAGCCGTGAGCTTTCCATCCACCCTCTTCTCCCCAGCAAGGTACTATTCTGGATTGATTTTGTAACTTAGAACTGTATTTGTTCTTTGACAAACATAGACCAGCTACTGGGTAAAATTTGGTCAGACACTCTACATCAGTGTTGTCCAAACTTGGCCACTTTAAGATGAGTGGACTTCAACTCCCAGA